CAATGAATTGACGACGGATTTTTCCGTTATTTCCCGATCGTGTCAAGGAGCACACGGCGGGTGTGACCGGTCGGCAGGGGATGCTCACTCCTCCATGGCACATAATCCCACCTCTGATGTTTTGTTCCGTGTTTGCTCTGCTCCTATTTTATAGTAGTTTTATGGACTTTTAATCTTGAATACTGTTCGTTATCTCTATATGTTTCATTATTTCGAATGTAATAAGACGTCTTTTATGCTACCTGCCTATCTTTTACAATCTTTTGTCGGGACTTTCTAGCTCTTTTACCTGACATTCTGATGCTTTTGACGTAGAACCTACGTCGTATGACATCATAATTTGTGAATGTGTTTAGCCTGTGCTAGATCCATTATGACGTCATAATTAATTCAATGTTACTTTTCCCTTTCTTTACACCTTTAATAGAAATGGTAGGAAAAACTGCATTTTGTAATTCAGAGAATTCAATTCAAAATCATGCCGAAATAACCTTAATTCAATTTACATGGTTTTTTTTTTATATTTTTAAATATTTGTTTATTACCCCAGTACATGTATATGTGTGTGTCCTTATATCCAAGGTTGGGGAGCCTTGGAATCTATAAGTTAATTTAACTTAGTAGTTTTTACATATGCATTAATGTAACATGAGGTTATTTTTACAAATTTTCATCTTTCATACTCCATTCACTAAGTTGCTTGTACATGTATATGCAAACATCATTGTATGAGAATAATTCAAATAAACAAAAGTATAGAATTCATTGTTTTGTAACAACTAATGTTGTAGGGAAATAGACTTAAGTATCAATATTATTACCTATGGGAACCCATGCCCATCTTCAACTAAAATTGTCTGGTTCACAATTTTTTGTATTAATGAATTTTTCACATTTGTAATAATATAATATTTCAGATTTAATTCCCATTAGGGATGGCAGTTCTTTTTTACTCCCTTTTCTATAAATATGTCTTTTTGCTATGCATATTATCACATTAAAAATGTTGAAATATTTGTAATATTAAACAAGTAAAACATCAGTTTCGTTCAATGTGATATCTAAATGAAATTCTTCTTTTATCCATGTTAATATATTATCCCATATTTCACTTACATAAATGCATTCCCAAAATAAATGGCCTAAAGTTTCTAATTACATTTACAAAATGTACAAAGTTTTGAGTCTGCAATTCCAGTTTTATATAGAAATGTGTTAGTTGCAAGAATTCTATGTACAATTCTATAGTGAAACCACCTCAACTGGACATCTTCAGTTATTTTAAAAAACAGAATATTTTGCTTTTTCCACAATATATCATTTACATTCAATTCCCATTTTGGTTTTTTCCATTTGTGGTCAATAAAGATATCATAAAAATCTCTTGAATCTTGCTCATGTTTCTTAATTTTTCTGTAAAGATTCTGGATAATAAGGTATATTTTGAACAATATATTCTATGTTATAACCTAAATGTAACTTTTTATGCATTCTATTATTCCTAAGAATTGTGTAAAAGGAGGTTTTAAACCATATTCTTGACAAAAATGTTCATAGTTTATCATTGTACCGTCACTATTAAAAAAAATCTAATAAGCGATGCACACAATTGACAAACTATTGTTTGTAATAGACATTTTTGTTATTAATTCATATAGCATCGTTAAACCACACAGAGCTTAGAATCGAGGTTTGACGGTCAATATATTTCCTTAGATCAAAAAATGCCAAAAACATCTCTCCAAAATAGGTTTTTACATACTTTAGACAAGTTATTTAGTATTTGTTTTTCAAAAAGCACAATATTTGCTACATTTGGCAGAGTACTTACAAGCAAATCTTTCCAACTTGACACACAATTGCAAGTATCATTTAAAAGTCTACGAATCCATGTAATTCTTAGGCTTTTACAGAAAGAATCAAGACATATCATTCTTAAACCTCTCTTTTCAAAACTTTGAATAATGTCCTTTTTTGCCACTCTTGGAGTTTTATGATTCCATATATAATCATAAAATATTGTTTCGATTTCCTTTATCTTTTCCCTGGGAGGATTTTGGAAGACTAATTAGTAGATGTGTGATCTTTGGAAGAATCAAAGTTTTAATCACAATAATACGCCCTGCTGTAGATACCATTTTTCTAGACCGTGACTTAATTAGTGATTGCATTTCATTAATTTTTGGATTAAAATTCAACTCGTACATATCTTTTCAATTCTAATTCACACAGTATGTAATACCTAAAACTGGAAATGGGTCTTGGGACCATTGAAGATTTTCAATATCTGTTAGATATTCATTTTATACATTTAATAAGGATACAATTTTCACACATTTAGTTTTTTTCATAGGCTTTAATCTTGAGTATTTTGCGTACTCATCCACTAGTAACAATGCTGACTTTAGTGAATCCTTGTTACCTTTTAATAATAATACAGTGTCGTCTGCATATCGCAATAGTTTATATTCTTTATCATTTACAACTATTCCTTTGACATATACATACTATTTCTAATCCTTATGCCCATTATCTTTGCATAAAGAAGAAAAAGGTATGGAGAAATACGGTCACCTTGTCTGCATCCCCTACTGTGGAATGTTAAAGAATTCTGAGAAAAAGCCATTTTGAATAACACATAATTTTGCCTCTTTAAATAAGGTTCTTACAGCATTCTGAAATTTTTCACCAAAATTAATACAATATTGAATGATGTCGTGAAGTAATTTTCTCCTATATTTCTTCCTGCTTAAAATCCGTTTTGATTTTCATGGATAATTTCAATTAAAATGGGTTTCATTCGATTAGCTAATACACTGGATAAGAGATTATATGATGTATTTAGAAGTGAAGTTGACCTCCAATAATTTTTTAGGTATTCTTGTGGTTTATGTCCTTTAGGTAAAATTGAAATAATTCCTTGAGTTTGGGATTTTGAAAGCTTACTCGAGGCAAGACTACATTTAAAAGAGTTATAAACATAGGACCCATATCTGACCAAAATTTTTTTTTAAATTCTGCAGTGAATCGATCTGTTCCTGGTGATTCGTCATTTTTGAATGACTTTAATGCTTCAAATATTTCCTGCTTAGTTATTTCTACTTCCAGTTGATTTTTCACGTTGTCTGAGACATTTTTAACATCCTTATCTTGTATTAATTCTTCAAGATTAAGATCATTAAGATGATCTTTGTTTCCGTATAATGTCTTGTAAAAAGTTTTTATCTCTTCCAGAATTTTATCTTGTTTATTAACCTCTACACCTTGTTCATTTACAAGTTTAAAAATGTTTTTATTAATATATTTTCTTTTTTCAAGCGCAGCAAAATATTTAGTAGGTTTTTTCCTTCTTCAATCCATTTACAATGACTTCTAACAAGTAGTCCTTTCAGTTCATATTTCCTTATTTCTTCCAGTTCTGTCTGGAGTTCATTTAATAAATCTGAATATGACTGTGTTGGAAAAATATCACACATTTCTTGTAGTATTTTTATTTGCGTGTTAAGGTCTTTTTTCTTATTTTTTCTTTCCTTTACTTCATGAATTGTATAATAGATAGGTAGACTTCTTATTTTCATTAACAGTACATCCAAAAATAAATCTTTGGGAATATGTAATTCAGCATCAGGTCCTGGAGCATAAGGGGGCATTGCGTATTCTGCCACTGTATCATTCATAGGTTTTTTTTAAAATATATTCTTTGTCCCTTAATAGAGAATTATCAAATTTCTAAAAACCTCTACCTCGTTGAAAATCATTAATTCTAAATTCAATACCAATTATTGAATGGTCGGTTCTATACCCTGGAATGATCTTAACATTTTCCAAATTTGACAATAATTCTTCAGATATAAGAAAAAAAGTCTAGCCTTGCTTGTTCAATGGGGTTTCTACAGCTCCAGGTGAATTTTTTACTGTTGGGTATTTTACTCTACAAGGGTTCACAAGATGAAATTCATTTTTTTGGTTTTGTATTTCTACCCTATTTTTAGGGTTACTCAATATAATTATGACAGTCTAACGGAAAATTCTGAACTAAATTCCAGTCTCCACACATAATAATAAATTCATTACCATATTCCTCAACTATATTACCAATCTCTGTGTAGAACTGTGGATCATCTCTTTTTGGACCATATAAATTAACCAAAGTAATATTATATAGATCTATTATCCACCGTCATATTAGTAATAAGGAAGTTTCCATTAATATCAGACTTCACGGTAGAAATTTCAACTTCTACATTATTATTCAAAAGAGTTAATGTTCCTCTAGCATCTGTTTTTCCTGCACTCATCACAATATCATGGCCCCACTGGGCATAAACTGAGCTCTTTTTCATTCTCTGTACAATGGGTGTCTTGAAGACAATATATTGAGGATTGTAAATTTCTAAGATAGCTAAAAACATCTTTTCTATTTTTACTATCGTTTAAACCCCTACAGTTTACAGGAGTTATGCTAAGAAGTGACATTTGCTTTTAAGGTAAGACAATAAGTATCTAAGTATATTGCATATACACACCTCATACACAACATTCTAACTTAAAACACAATGATATTTTTGCATGCGTACTAAAATAATCCACAAAAAAGGATACAAAAATTCATACAAGTATGTGAGGCTACATATTAAGTCATCCGAGACCCTCGGGTGTTTACTTGCTGGTCTATACCGACTTGAAAAAGAAAATTCTCTCAAATAGGCTACCTATAGGATTCAATACAATTCGATAGCTAGTATGTGAGGCTACATATTAAGCCACCCGAGACGCACTAATATTTGCTTATTGGTCTATAACAACTTAAAAAATTAATGTACAAATAAGCTACAATACTCTTTGTAGGTGTATGTTAATTAACATCAATTATATAGGAAGGAAAAATAATACCACAATAATATACACTGTACTACATATACCATAGCTAATAATAATGTTAACTTCCATAAATGGAATGGAGAAAGGAGAAACAACCAAAATCAGGCACAACATCAAAATTAAAGCTTATAGATGTTCCACTCCTCTTCTCCCTTTGCACGAAATTGAAGAAGAACATCATCCTTCGTTTCTATAATGCGGGTTTTCAGATTATCTTGGCTCCTCATTCTGTATGCTCTTTGCGCTAGTTCACTACGCTTTTCCTTCAAAGGATTTGCGAGATCTGAGCGAATTGCCATGCCTTTTGGAAGCGTTGCCGTTCTTGCCTGATGAAGAATAAGACTGCGGTCAGTCATTCTCACAAACTTCACTATAATTGCCTCTGGTGCATCTGGCTTGTAGATATTTAACGGATTTTTTGGAATTCTGTGTGAATTTTGGATTACAATGGCCTTGATATCTTCTTCTGGGATTTTCAAGTTGTGTCTCAAGCACTCAAGAACAGTCTCGGAAGTGTTTTCTTGATCAGACTTCGGGATGCCATATAACAATGAGTTGTACTTCCTTGAGCGGTTTTCTTGTTGTGCCACATAATCCTGTAACTGTTTGACACGAGCCTCCAGTTCTGTAATTTTCTGTTCCTGAGGATCTACCCGTTCAGTCTTCAACGTTTCTAGGTCTGAGATCCTGAAATCTTGGTCTTCCAAAGCTCTCTCTATGTCTGTAAAGTCTTTCTTCAGTTTTGATAGCGACTCTTCCACTTTATCTACATTCTCTCCCACAGTTTTCAGGTTTTCATTCACAGAGTTTTCTTGTTTACCAATAAGCTTCATAAAAAGAGCTTTAAGATCATTATTTGAAACCTCTTCATGTTCTTCTACCTTTTCATCCTTTTTGCCTTGTTTTGGGTCCTGTTCATCTTGTTTATTTGTCTTGTCTTGTTTTGTTCGTCCCATAGTTAGAATTTCCTCTGTTGTTTTTTGCCGTCGAGGAGGGGTTAGCAAGAATTTATACATCAAGGAGCACGAAAACGAGATTAATGCAGTCTCTTATGACGTATTCGTTATCTTGTCGAATCCTACTACTAAAATATCCTGTCTTTACTTACATTTTCCTCACTTTTCTTGCCTCACGAAAAATCACGCCACGCTTGGCGCCCATCTCTCAGCAGAGGGCGTTTTTACGCTCCGCTCCAACACCTCTGTTATCGTCTAAATTACAAGAATCTTGTAAAACGAAAATAAATTATAGATTCACACCAACTTGGTAATTATTTCAAATGAAACTAGAAATATCAATCTTTAGCACTTCTTTTGTTCTTTTAAAATCTGGATATATATTAAAATAGCTTCAACATATACGGCACTATTTTGTTCAGAATATTTACACACATTTTCATTTTGAAATCAAGGAGACAAAGTTAGAAAATATTTACTACCAGAGAGCTTAAAACACATAACATCATTGGCAAAACATACAAAACAATCAATGTTTATACAATTTTTGTTGACATTTAATTATTTGACAATCCGCACTACTTTTTAGACGACAACAGATGTGTAAGCGGAGCGCGCCCTCTGGTGAGAGATTGGCTTGGCGCGTCACAATACCGGAACCCAATTTACATATTTTTTGGTTATAATGCTTAATGACAATATATTTTTGGAATTACAGAAACCTGTAGGCACCTTCCATTTACTAGATCTTGGTCTTAATTAAGTTGACAAATCCAAGACTATCTTGTGTAATGAAATACAAGTTACTGTAATAATGTTAATGGTATGTAACCATTTTGAAGGAATGCAAAATCGTAGGAAATCTTCAGTAGCCAACTAAATAGTATAATATATTGTCTAAGTCAAAGATGTACGTGTTGTAGATCGTGCGGTTGTTTGTACATTTTTGTGATAGGCCTATCTATCATCATGAATTGATGTGCATTCGTTTTCATAATTATTTGTTACTTATTCAAAATCTTTGTGTTTGATTACAATTTTTCTATCAAATATGATATTTTTAATAAAAAGTACAAAATTTGGTAAACATTTTAAATCTGAAAGTAACCACAAACAAACATTTAATGATTAAATCCCGTGTAAGTGCAAAAAGGTCAAGAATATTAGCATCGGTAAATAACATATATCTCATTAGTTAGAGGCGAAAGGTATTTATTATAATCACTTTTTGTAATCATTTGGGTATGTCCTTCATCATATTAAAGATTGAAAACATTGTCACAAAAACTTCTGAAAAATGTTTACAAATGTACGGTGGAAAATTGACTTAAAAATAGACTTCATTTGCCTATTTTTTTTTAATGTGGACTTATTTTTTATGTCAATTGAATAAGAAAAGAAATTATTCTTGAGAAATATTGCTTAATATTGTTCACTTAATATTTGCAAGAGGTCGTGATTTTGGCCATGTTGACAGGTATGAACTTCTGAAAAATGTTTACAAATGTACGGTGGAAAATTGACTTAAAAATAGACTTCATTTGCCTATTTTTTTTTAATGTGGACTTATTTTTTATGTCTATAAACGACGATGTTTGAAGAGGTATTTTGTGATTTTTCATTTTCTCTTCTTGACAAGGACCCCTAAAATGTGTAGTCGCAATATGTAATTACCATACCAAGTTTCACAGGCTGTACTAGATTCAAAAACAAAGAAACATTAGCTTTTAATTCATTGACAAGAAAGTACTAATTTATCATTTTGAAAAGTTTGAAAATCTTCTGACAAAGATTTTGCGACATAGGTTCTACCTTAAAACAAATCAGAAATTAATAAATAGGTTTTACTGCATAACATGGGCTCAGGCAGTTAATGCTTTTAAAACCACAAAGCAGTTTATTAAAAGGCCTACATTGTCCTAAGTCAGGATTAGCAATGTTTCAAGCCGTGTGATTAGAGTGTTTATGTTTATAATTTAGTCTCGGATCGAATCCAATTTCGGTTCGTGATGACTGGTTTTTCAGGGAAAAAAATTTAAGACCGAGGTCCCCTGTCGCAGGAGATATTGACACGAAAAGATCTCTCACTGCTCAATGTCCCTGAATGCCGAGTAAACATCTAAATTCACCGGGAAATGGTGACGTCATGTTAAGTGGGACACTTAATAACAAACAAATTGTAACCAGAAGTTAACATTGTGATCGCATTTTCGGTTCCTTGGATTAAAAGTAAATATGTTAAGACCAAACGTTACATGTACATGCAAACTTCGGAAATTATATTTAAAAAATCGATAATCCTTTATACAGAAGAAAACATCCAGTGAAATCCTAAACACATTGGATTCAAACATTATAAGATTTTATCATAACCTCATTCAAGAATCGATATATGCTTTGATGCATTATCTACCTGTATTTAAAAATCTTTTACAGGAGAAGAAGAAAATTACTTCTAATTAGGGAAAACAAATGAAGATAATTAAGTTGCTTCAAAAGAACAAATCCACAAGAAAATCGAGTTTTTACCTTCCTAAACAGAAACGCTTTTCTCCGTTTTTTCTAATTGATTTTGATTAAGGATATGGAAATAACGAACAGTATTCAATCTCAACGTCCATTAAACAAATATACAAAACAAGAG